CCAGCCCGCTCCGCGCGCTCTCCGCACCTGAGTATTTCACTTCATCACTGCGCCTCCTCTGAGTCTGGGTATGATATTCTCTTTCCTCCTAGTTGTAGAATTTCCACTCAGCCAGCCTTCCTGTGGTTCTGGATGCTGTCCATTCCGTCTTTTAGGTGTATTTTTGAATTGGTTGTTTGAGGCAGCAATCTCCGTCGTTAACCTATGCCGCCATCTTGCTTCTCTCTCTTTTAGTTTTATATAAGTTGATTCATACAGCTGTGTCTAGCTTTTTTATGTGTGTCTGATGGTTTTTGGTAGACATTGTTTTTGTGGGATTTATCCATGTGGTTGCATATTGCAGTAGTTTGTCCTTTTTCTATTTGGTATAGTAGACTATAGTAGAATGCATAAGTGCCACAATTATGCATTTTCCTGTTGATGGGTGTTTGAGTTGGTTCAAATTGGGGACTATAAGCCTTTTTGTACATGTCTTTTGAACACATTGCTATTGAGCATGTACACATTTCTGTGTTCTGTATACTGAGGAAAGAAACAGCTAGGTTGCCCTGGCTGGTGTGGCTCAGTTGGTTGGTGCATCATCCCATACATCAAAAGGTGGCGGGTTTGATTCCTGGTCAAGGCACATACCCAGGTTTTGGGTTCAATCCCCAGTTGGGATGTGTGCAGGAAGGAACAAATCTAAACTCATTTTTAAAAAAGAGGCAAAAGCCCTAGCTGATTTCTTCAGTAGTTAGAGCATCAGCCTGCTGACCAAAGGGTTGCAGGTTCAATTCCATTCAAAGGTACGATCCCTGGCCCTGGTTGGGGCACATGCAGGAGGCAACCAATCAATGTTTCTCTCTCTCTGTCTCTCCCTCTCCCTTACACTCTCTATAAAAAAATAAAATCAATGGAAAAAATATCCTCGCATGAGGAAAAGAAGAAATTGCTAGGTCCTATGGTATGCATATGGTCAATTTTAGTAGGTACTGCCCCATTGTTTCCCAGATGACCCTGACGTTTTACCCTCATGCCAGCAGTATGAGAGCTCCATATACTCTGTGTCCTTGCCAAAACTTGGTATTGATGGTGTGTTTTGGTTTTTTTGTTTGTTTTTTTGGTTGGTTGGTTTTGTTTCTTGGTTGTTGTTTGTTTTTGGTGCCTGATTTAGAACATTGCTTTTAAAAGTCTGCCCAGTTTTTTTATTATGTGAGTATACCATAATTTAACTAATTTTGATGGGCTTTTGCCCTCTTCCTTCACTACCGGGACAGCGCTAAAATTGAGTGGGCTCAGTGTTTATTCTGTTCGATCTGACTGTGTGGGGGAGATTCAATACTGAAAGTAACAGTACTGATATAGTCTATCTTTTCTTAAAAGATTTTCCTCAAATTCTCTTTGTTTTGAGTAGTGTGGTACTGATGTGAAGAATCCACATAAAAATGTTTTATTTTGTTGACATAAACATCAATTTTGATTTCATAGTGGAAAACAGTTTTCTTTACTCTTGTTTAAAAGTAATGTAATATCTGAATCTGGACTTGTGGTAAGGTATTGCTAAAGACAGCCAACTTTAAATAATTTGCATTCTCTTAGAACAAGCATAGAGTGCTGGCTGCCAGCACCTGCTTCACATAGATCATCAATCCATTGGAAAATCGCTGTGTGAATTATTTGAGAATGTAATCACTTAGGTTTTGGAAAACTGAATTTCACCCTTTGGAAATGAAAGGTGGTTCCAATCAGGGAACCTTGCTTCACAGCCCAACTTGTCTTTTAACAAAGCTTCCCTCCCCCATTTCTGCAAGTTTTCTTCTAACATAGGTTTTTAAAAGTATGAAACTCTAGGGGCTTGCTTTTAATGAGTTAAATATAATCACCAGGCCTCCTGCTTCTCATGTTAGGGGGTGTGATTACTTCATGATAACCACTCTTCCTGTTGTGCATTATAGCTTTAGACAGGTGTTGTCACAGGTGGTATTCAGTTCTATCCAGTTACCATAAGTAATTCCTTCGGAGAGTTAAGATACTGTTAACCCTCTCTGATAGCTGACTGGTCCTTTAAAAAGTGCCTTATGGACATATAAGACAGTTTATCTTTCCTATTATTCTTTGCTTTGCCAGTTGTATGTTAAATTATTCATTTTTGGAATAGTTATAATGACCAGAAGGAGCAAGTAATTCTCATACTAGTCAGTTTTAGACATGCTTTTTTAATTTCACATGTGGAGGTTTTCCCTATTTCTAATTAATTGCTGTCAAGAGCTTCTTACTTATAGCTGGAAACTGCTGCTTTATATTCTGTTCAGTTTTTTGAGAAGTCTGTGTTAGAAGACTGCCTTTACCACTTGAGATTTCTTAAGAGGTCATATTGCAGCAGAAGTCTAAAAGTCTTCCAATTCTTAGTTATCTGTACTAATGGCAATGAATCTGAAATGCCTAAATGAATTAACAAATAAGCCAGAAATTTTATTGAAGAGAGCATTTTCAATGACCTCTTTTTTTCCCAGCCCCTAACTCTTTTATCAGTATCAGTAATTAGTAGCAAAACTTGCTGGCTTGATTTTTTTCTTTTCAATATCTATTAAAAGTTCTAATATTCTAAACCAGGTTTGGGGTGAAGGTAGTGGTGGTTGGAGGAGCACAAATCTAATCAGTTTCTGATTAATAACTGTTACTTAGGAATCTCTTCATGTATCTCATATTTATGGACCAGGTTTAGAGATTGATTTTAGAGACCACTTTCAAATCTTGATTAATAAAATGCTGACCTCTAGTAGATCATTCTGAATAATCCTAGCACGTTTAGCCAGCTTTTACCAAGAAGCCCAATATAAGAGTTGTTTAAGTTGCAGCTTTCTTATAAAGAAGAGAATAAAGAACCAATAACCTAGAACCAAGAGAACCCTCCTTAATTTCCCTGCAACTTCATTCCTTCCAACAGCTATTTCTCTTTCTACATAGGTATCAGTCAGAGCCGGATCTCTCACTGGCTGTTGCAACAGGGATCAGACCTGAGTGAGCAGAAGAAAAGGGCGTTTTACCGATGGTATCAACTGGAGAAGACAAACCCTGGTAAATATCATGTTCTTTTTTCATTGCATATGAAATGAGACATATGTAATTAATTGCTTTATTGAATCCATGTGCTGCCTTATCTTCATCATGGTAGTTTCAGACTTTACTGTTTTTCTTTTAAGCCAAAGAAAAACTGCAAAACCTAAGCCCTGTTGTACCAATTTTTTATTTAGTGTCTAATGTCATCTAAGGTGCCTCTTTGTTTACAGTTTTTTGATATTTCTAACAAGAGTTGGAAAGAAAAGTTATGGTTGTCAGTGGGCGATTTTCTTCTTCTCAACTATAGGTACACATAAGATTCCATGTCTAGTTTTTTTTTTCTTTAATCTTGTTGTAGTAGTATAAACTTATACTTTCATTTACTCCATGCTATACCTTATCCAATGATCTCTGCTAATGGTTTTCTAATTCTAAGTACCTAGGTGGTAAGTGTGTCTTTGGACTTATGCGGAAGCTGTCCAAATGACTTTGGGAGCAGCAATAGGTTGGAAAGTAGAATAAAATCTTAAGGAAAAAGATCACAGAAACCTTTGTGTCTGAGGTTGCCAGGGATAGGCAAATTCTAGTACAGGATACTTTTAACAAATGGTATATAAGGTAAAACCTGAAGTTGTGTGACAGACTGTCTCAATCTACACATAACAGACTGATGGCAGTGAGCCCGATGTCAAGTTGACCTTGTGATTGAGCTGTCTTCTGTAATATTACAGCATTAAATCCTTTGCTTACGGACTGAATTACCAGTTGTAATATTGCATATTGGAGACTCTTAGCTAATAATAGCATTGGCCCTGAGGCAGGAATAAAGAATGTTTTAGAGACATATATTTCCGTGTGTCTGTGGTAAGATATTTTTCAGAGATCACATTCTTGACCTGAAAAGCCCAGGCAGGCCCAAACAGAAGAGAACATATTAACCTCTCTGCAGTGAATTTTTTATCTACCTGACCCCCAGTTTCTATTTTGAAATGTTTCAATGTACAGAAAAGTTAAAAGACCAACACAGTGAATATCTGTTCACCCTCTTAGATACAGTAATTGTTTACATTTTGCTACGTTTGCTTTATTCCTAGAAAATAAATTAATTAAAAACTTACATATATGTATGTTTGCATGCATACACACATTCTCTTTAGCATTCACCTCCAAAAAAAGAGTAATTGTCTATGTGACACAGTTCCTATGATCATACCTAAGAAAATTAATAATAATTTGCTGGGGCTGATCAGCAGCCCCTGAACAATGGATGAACAGATTACTCTGACAGTTTCACTGTGGGGGAGAGGGCTAAGGGACAGCCCAGCTGAAAGAGCCAGGCAGCCTCGATTGCCTGCCTCATTAGACTTTTATTGGAATTTTTATCTTTAGATAAAGTCAGTAGGGTGAGTAACCTTGGGAGGACACATGTGTTTACATTGTCCTCAAGGCAAGGACATCCAGGGATTAAGCATAAGGATTCCAGTAAACACCCGGGGGTCTGCACAGACTTGTTTGGAATGGTCAAGGAATAATTAGGGGCACTGCCTTCCACACTCCCCTTAGGCTCCCCTAAGTCGGAATTCCGATGAACAGGGCAGGCGGCCTTCTACACACTTCCCTTTTCTTGGAATGTCCTCCTTACAACTTTCCAACCAAGTCTCTTGTGCTCCACAGCAATAATTCCTTAATATCATCTAATATCCAGTCCATATTTACATTTCTGTAGATGTTATAAGAATGTCTTTGATAACTTTTTAAAAATTGAATAGTATCGGATTTAGGTTGACAAGTTGGAATTTGTTATGTGTTTTAAGACTCTTAAATCTAGTCACTTAAACTTTTTTCATGACAAACTTTTAAAATCATTTAATATTATAGTGTCTCATATTCTGGATTTTTAGTTTTCTCTTATTATCAATTAACTAATCTCTTTAAGTACTTCCCATAAACTGGAAGCTAGGATTAGAGGCTTGATTAGATTTAGGTTAAACATTTTTGGCAAGAATACTTCATAGATTATTTAGAGAGGGCATGTGTTAATGCCTGCAATTTACTTTGAAATGCATAAAAGTAAAATGAATAGGAAGATGATAAAGAAATGTGATAAAGTTAGTACTGTGTTGTAAAATACTAGATAGTATGAGTGCAGATTTTTGCTATAAATTCTTTCATTGTTCTGTATGTTTGAAAATTTTCACAATAAAACATTGGGGCAAAATGCTTGTTAAGTAATGTTTACCTCAATTTACCACATATCCAGAGGTGTATAATGGCAGGTTGTAGCATTATTCATATGCTAAGTTTGATCATTTGTTAAAAGTAGTGGTCACCAGGTCTTGTCGTTATAGTTTATAAATAATCTACGGGGTGTAATTTTGCCACTGAATAACTCTCCTCTTTGACTGTTTGCCACTAGTCTTAGCATCCTTTGATGATGCTCATCTGAATCAGTTGCTCCAATGGAGATTGCAAAATGGTGATAGTCTAATCTAACATTCCTTCAGCATTTATTAGCTGGCAGTTTTTCTGCAAAGGAATTTCATTTTTAAATATTTTTCTAATGATATCTAGACATAACAAACCTCTCAAAAATAATGACTCTTGTTGCTGCCATTAGTTAAATGTTCTAAATTAGCACATTTCAGTAGAAATATAATGCAAATGACATGTGCAATTTTAAATTATCTAGTAACCACATTTTAAAAGGTGAGAATAGCTAAACTTAATATATTTTATTTAAGAAATATATATTATTATTCATCATTTAATCTTTCTTTCTCTTTGTACTGATTCTTTGAAATACAATATATGTTTTACACTTAAAGCACCTATGTCCAATCAGCCACATTTCAAGTGTTGAATAGCCCCATGGGCTAGTGGCTACTGTATAGGACAGCACAGCAGCACTTCAATCTCAGCTTACAGCAATCTTCCCAAAGATAGCACTTCTTCCATAATTCACAGCAGAGCGAATCACATGAAGAGGGACAGAGCTTGGCACTTGTCTGTCTAATTAATAGAGCAGCTTCAGGCTGGCTGGTAGCAAGGGTTCAGCTAAGTAACTAAGGAATTGTGTTTGAGGGTTTCATGACCTGGTCACATTCCAGAAATTGGTTACCAGGGAGCACCAGAGAGATTGTCAGGATGTTCCAAAATGAAGAATTTGGAGCGCAAATACTAGTCATTTGTGTCAGGCAGCCGTCCTCCTTAAGAGAAGGGATTTGTCACTTGTATTTGGCACTTAGAACAATGCCTAATGTATAATCTTATCACAGTTGGTGGTGCTAAATTTCCACACTGAGATTCAGGGCTGGGCTCCAGTCCCAAGCAGGAACTTGGATACCAGGAAAACAAATTAACTAGAAACAGGAAGGAGAGACCAAGGTGCAGCATTTTTGCAGTTGACCTGATACCACTTCCCACTGCAGAATACTATTGTTGGAATTCAGATTTTAGCACTGAGGTGGATATTGTGTTCTTCTGAAAATCATTGTTTTATTTTTAATCTTAGTTCCTATTTCAAGCTATCTTGGAACCAGAGCTAGGTTCACCCATCACCAGGAAATTGGAGAAAATTGGAACTAAGGCATTGAAACAAGAAAAATGGGAAAGAACTAACATCATTCATCCAGCTGTTGATGAGAAGCTGTTTTCTTTATGGAGATAGCGCCCCTGTTAAGAATAAATTCCCCTAGTCATATGCATTTGCTGTTCAATAAAGTTGCATTGCCAACTATCCCTTTTTTTCTGGGTAGTTTCTGTTTGTTTCCTAGCTTTTTTTTGTTTTTGTTTTTAATTTGAAAATCAAATCTATACTGGTTCTGAGTTCTCAAGTTTTCTGTAGGACATAATTTGAAAAATGAGTTCATAATTGAGTTGGTAGTTTTCATTGCATAAACAGTAATTGGATGTTAGCAATTAAAATTTAATTTTTAAAGATTTTATTTGTATTTCAATCTTTATTATAAGAGCTAATATGCTATAGAATTCTTTCTAAAGATAAGTGCTGGATAAGTGCAGTTTTATTTTTTGTTCAATTACAGTTTGCATATAACATTATATTAATTTCAGGTGTACACTGCAGTGATTAGACATTATATAACTAAGTGATCATCCAATATATCTTGTACCCATTTGACATCATACATAGTTATCATAATACTAGGGGTCCAGTGCACGAATCCATGTACCTTGGAAGGAACTGTGGGCCGAGAGGCTGTGGTGGGCACAGGGGCAGGTCTTGGCTCATCCTCCGTGCCCCTACCCGGCCCCTCCCACCAACGCCCCCAACCCCCTGTCACGAGCTGACAGCACCAGCCCCTCTTGTACTCACTGATGGTGCAGAGTGACTGGGGCCGGTGCCAGCAGTGGGTGCAAGCAGCGGCTGCTGGTCCCAATCACCCCTCAGGAGCATGGGGAGTTGGAGAAGCCCTCAGGGGCGATTGGGGCCAACACTCGCAGCAGGTGCGAGCACCAGGTGGACCACAGTGCGCAGAAGCAAAGAATTTTCAATAACCACCAGAGGCTCGCCCCAATGACAGTGACCAAAGCCCTGCCTTGGTCTGGCGCCTCCACTCACGTGCTCTACCATCCTGCCACAGCTGAGGCCCTGCATGTTCCATGCTCTGCTGCCAACGCCCACCATGTTCCATGTGTGACCCCTGATGGTCAGGGCACATCATAGCAACCGATTGTTCGGTTGTTCCACCGTTTGGTCTATTTTTTAAAAAATATATTATATTGATTTTTTTACAAAGAGGAAGGGAGAGGGATAGAGTTTTAGAAACATTGATGAGAGAGAAACATCAATTCAGCTGCCTCCTGCACACCTCCTACTGGGGATGTCCCCACAACCAACATATGTGCCCTTGACCGGAATCGAACCTGGGATCCCTCAGTCCACAGGTGGATGCTCTATCCACTGAGCCAAACTGGCTAGAGCTGACTACCTATTTTGAAAATTCAGAGTTAGTCCTGACTGGTGTGACTCCATTGGTTGGGCATCATCCCTTGATCCA